AAAACAGGCAGTAGAGGTTATTACTTGCTGCAAGTCTAAGTCACTCAGAGACAGAATAACAGCGACAGCTTGGCTTTAGTCACCTTGACAGGAGGAATGTGGAAACACCAAAGGATTCAACAGCGAGTGCTGACACGGTGCTTATCATGGGCAAAGGCAGGAAAGAGCCTCTCTTTAAACAATTCTCATCTGCCTAACATGGAGCAAAATAACTTCCCCCATTTTCCTCCATCAATTAACATAACTGGCTACTTGCCTCTAGCTATCACCAACATAAAAAAAAGTCCTTTGGGACTGGACCTACAAGTGCCTTTTCCAAATACCTTGGGATGCTCTCAGAAATGATTGCTACACTTAGGAATCTCGAGGTTATTTCCTCCTTATCAGTGCTACTAACAAAAATGTGATTTTTTTTATTTTGAGTATTCTCTGCTTTTGACTTGCTATGACATCATGGCAGATCTCATGCACCTACTCCATGTTTTCTATCACTTGCTTCCTATACAGGCTTCAGCCTGTCAGACAGTGATGAATCATTAAAGCACTCGGCTCTGGAGCAGGCTCCCAAACTTCTATGATTCCCAGATCATACCTGGACCGCAGCTCTCCTAGATGGCAAGAGCCTGGGCCCTGGGGGGACAAAGGGCAGAGCAAGAGGAGGAGACCTCCAAAATGGGGTGGGGAACCTAGGTCTGTGCTAGCAAGGCCAGCCAGGACAGCTGGCGGCTCCCAAGGCTGCAGGGTGGGAACAGTCAAACCCTCTGGAGATGCTGCGGTGCTCCTGCAGCAACAGGGCTGTGAGACTCCCGGGAAGGGACACGGCTCTGCATCCGCCCCCCCCCTCCATCTCCCCCATGGCCCTTCCTCACCTCCATCTCTCGCTGCTGGGCGGCGCGGAGCAGCGGCAGGTTGTGGGGCCTGCAGCACTGCTGGGCCTCCTTGTGTCGGTGGAACAGCTCCTGCTTCAGCCCTGCCACGGGCACGGGGGGCTCAGGAGGGCACGCTGCTGCCAGGTCCCCCCCAGTGCCACTCCCATCTCCCCCAGTGCCCTTCCCATAACATGCCCCCCCTGCGGCGTCGCTCTCCCCCCAGCAAGGCACCCAAGCTGTCACCCCCACCACCCCTCAGTATCCCCAGAACCTGACCCCCGTGTCCCCCCCCCAGTGCCCCCACAACCTGCCCCCCCCGTGTCACCCCCCACCTCACAAATGCCCCAGGCCCGTCTCCCACCGCAGGGTCTCCACCGCCTCCCTGCAGTGCTGCCCCACTGCTCCCGAGCTGACTTCCAGTGTACCCCCGTGCCCCAGGACCGCCCCGCTGTGTCCCCCCGCCCCAGCGCCGCCCTCCTTCCTCCCGTGTCCCGGGATCTCCCCCCGGGATCGCCTCCGGCCCCCGGGTACCGCGGTGCTCGCTGTGCAGCTGCCGGCGTTGGCTGTAGAGGTTCTTCTCGGTGAGGTGCTGGATCTCCAGGAGCCCCTGCACGATCTCGAACACCGTCCCGTCCAGCAGCGCCAGCGCCAGCTCGGAAAGCGTCGTGTACGAGAGGCGCTGCTGGCAGGGGCTGCGAGAGCGCACCGGGTCAGCGCGGGCGCCGCGAGCAGCCCCCGCCCCGCCGCGCCGGGCTTACCTGGGCAGCGCCTTGACGAGCGCCTGCAGCTCGGCCAGGAGCCGGCGGTGCCGCTCCTGCTGCCGGGACAGGACGTGCTGCGGCTGCTCCTGCTCGGCCTCCAACCCGCCGGGCCGCGCCATGGCCGCCCCGCCTGCCCTCTGCGCGTGCGCGAGCCCGACCCGCCGCGCGCCGCCATCGCCCCGCCCCTCGGAATCCGCCAATCCCCGCCCCGATCGCCCCCCCGCCAATCCCCGCCCCGATCGCCCCCC